ACCCTGCACTTGGCATTGTTGAACCTCATGAGGTTCACACAGGCCCACTTCTCCAGCTTGTCCAGGACCCTCCAAATGGCATCCGATCCTTCTGGTGTGTCAGCTGCACCACTCAGCTTGGTGTCATCTGCAAACTTGCTGAGGGTGGACTCGATCTCGCTAAGTCATTGATGAAAATGTTAAACAGCACCGGTCCCAGTACGGACCCCTGAGGGACACCACCTGTCACCGGTCTCCATTTGGACATCGAGCCATTGACTACTACCCTCTGGCTGCGACCTTCCAACCAATTCCTTATCCACTGAACAGTCTACCCATCAAATCCATATTTCTCCAATTTAGAGAGAAGGAGGTTGTAAGGGACTGTGTCGAAGGCTTTACAGAAGTCCAGATTGTTGCCTTTGTTGGCGTGGCGACCTGGTTCAGGAACGGCACGGCGACCAACCCCAGGCCGCTCGGGCCATCAGCTCGCAGACACCAATGTGGTGGACGGCAAATGGCGTTTATTGACGGGTAGCACAGTATTATATAGCTTAGGTTTACAGCGTCACTTCCGTCTGCTTACACCTATGGGCTAAACGCTACTGGTTATCAGGAGAGGAGGGGGGGGCCTAGCTTTCCGTACAGCACGACATCTTCCGACCGCCAGGCCCTAACTATCCACAAATGAGAAAACAACAAACAGCTTCTCATTCCTCATCAGGAATCAGGTGTAGCTGTTATTTGTATAAAACCTGGTTTTGGAAGGGTTTAAAGACCTTGGCTTTGGGGAATTTACAGTAAAAAAAGCTTTGGGCCACTACATCTCTGTATTCTGGCTTCATGGGCTTGTTGGGTAAGACCAACCTGCATAAAACTGGTCCCTGTGTCTTCTCTCAGCAGCCGTTCTTTCAGTCCTGGTAAACTAGCCCTGAAATGAGTAATGTTAAGTAATGGCAAAACTTCCCAGGATAGTGAAGGACTTTGTGGGAAAAGGAATATGGTTTAAATGAAGAGAGACAGTTTATGTAGTCCTGAAAAGCTTCTGAAACTTCTGATTGCAGTCAAAGATCACAGTTCCTGCTTCCTCTTTCTGTGCTGGACAAAAGATAACCTGCACAAACAATTCGCTTTCTATAGAACAATGTAACCTCAACAGTTTATTTTGATGCTCTTCATTTCAAAATAACATAATTACAAAACTGTGGAGTTTTATTGTTTGTTTGGTGATTGTTTTTTGTTTTGTTTTGTTTTCTTATTTTTAAGAGAGCTAAATGACACGAGAATGAAATTAGAACAGTCCGCTTTAGTAGAATGAGACATTTCTGGTAGAGCTAGATACTTCTTAAGCTTGACAGTCAAATAAAAATACTGGGAGTCTGAGAAAAGAAAAAATGTTTTTCTACGAGCCCATCCTGTTATAGGAAAAAGTCTCTTCTGGAGATATTCTCTAGTTATCTGTTCTTTCTGTCGCTGGAAGGAATTGTCAGGGCTGCTTCTTTCTCCCTGCTTTGTTATCCTGCAAATGCAACTGTCATACTTCAAGTTCTGGATCTTGAGATTTGAAAGGCACGTTTTATATTTGATATCTGGTATATAATTTCTCCGGTGCAAAATGTCTGCTACATGCGATTTTTCTAATCCCACAATATTCTTTGCACACTTTTCCCACAAAAAAATCAAATGACAATTTATTATCTGCAGCAAGGCTTATGGAACTTTTATAAAGTTGTAGAATATAGACTTTTAAAAAGATATTTTCTATCTGTGTATTTATGAATGTTGTATTACTAAAAAGCAGTGAGGTAGATAGCAATGTATTATGAGGATAATTAATGCATGCTATACCATAATTAACTTTGGAGGGAATTTTAAATCAATAGGACTCCTCTGGGTTTTTTGGTCATCATTTCAAATTCTGAAAAAAAATGTATCTTTAATTGTTATTTTCAGTTTTACAGAATTTTTGGATCCATTCCAGCGGGTTATCCAGCCAGAAGAGATCTGGCTGTATAAAAATCCTTTGGTGCAATCAGACAACATACCTACACGTCTTATGTTTGTAAGTACTAAAGGTTGATTGGTCACTTGATGGCTGTGTATACTAAGTTCACTTTCATTTGATAAGCAGTAGGAAACCTCTCAGAAGTATAGGATGTTCCTTTAATTCTAATGACAACTGTTTTCCCAACCAGGGATGTGCAAAATGGCAAAATATACGAAATTGTGGGGAGTTTCTAAAAAGCAGCATTATCAGGTGGCTGAATTAATGAAATTTGATTTTACAGTTTTTTTAAGCTAGTGTTAAATTAGAGGGATGCTAGACAAATGATTAAAGAAACTTTTAGAATTAGCTGGTCAGGTGACCTGACAAAACCTTGCCATACTCTTACTAGGTTAAGAGCTTGAATTTTGAAATCCAATTTGTTTTAGGCATGTTAGGCACTGACATATTTGCCTTGAAATATTTTTTTTTGCCCCGCCTGTAGACAAAACCTTTATTTTAGCTTCTGCTGACAAGGGTACTAAACATATCATAGAGCTGCTCTGCTGTCACTGTTCTGGAACTCCCTGGCACAGCTCGTGTTGACGTGCAGACTGGCTGTTGGATTTTGATGGTTTGTCTGGTGATCAAAATTCATGGGTTTGATAACCTTCGCTAGCAATGATTAACAATCATAATAATCTACACATGTAACTGTAAGAGTGCAGTAAGATAGACTACTACAGAAATGCTAAGAAGTTACGGGCATAGTTCAGGCTATTACAACAAGTAGGTCAGTCGTTGCAAAAGCTTCATCAGTCAAAGTGGAGATTTTGCAGGAACGGGCATAGCAGATGAGGTCAAACCCTGGTGCCCATATGTCAAAGCAACCTTTCCTGTGTCTTCAGTGAAGCTAGGGTTTTACTGTTCAGATTAAGCCTTGAATTCAGAATAAATGCAAATCAATTAGGTAATTTGTCTTCAATGTTTTGTTTTGTTTTTTTTTTTTTAAGGGCTCAAGCCTTCAGTTAGGGAAACTTTTTAATTATCTAAGGAAAAACCTGAGGGTACTTCCTATTTACAAGGTGACGATGTGTCTCAGCCTCCTAAGACAGAGGCTGAAGGCCTGGTTTTAAATTCACCAACATATTGTTTATATTGCATTAAGAGAAAGCTCTATTAAGTACTTTTTCAGCCTGGATGGGTGAAAATGTATGTTCTTCCTGAAATGGAAAACAGTGATGTAAAACCAAAAAAACCCCACAAAACAAAAACATGAAATTGTTGTGCTAGGAAAGACTCTTAGGATTAATTCTGCCAGTTGTCTTATGCTGAGCATTACCTTGCTACATGGTTTGTCTGGTCTGTGTGTACAACTGAAGAGTTCAAAAACCAATAGTGAATCATTGCACAGGGGTTTGCTGCCGTGGTGAAACTGTTTTTGAAACCAGTTAGGATAATCATTCGTCCTTGCTCTGTAGTCTAGGCAGTGTCCATTGGGAAGCACAGTTCTGGGATATAAGTGCAGCACATTCCTCTGTTAACTAGTTCCCACTGAGACAGTTTTTGGCATACTTTACAGCAGGTGGAACTTCCAGGCAGCTCTGAGTTAGCAACATTTGTGTAGTCTGTATTGTCTTTCTGGCTCAGACCATGACATCTCAGTAACTCAGTGAACAGCTTCTTAAATTAAGAAACGTAGATTATTTCTAAATGTTTTTTTCTTATTTCTTTAATTAAAAAGAAGAAGAATCCAACTCTAGCATTGATCGCAAGCTTTCATTATGTAAAGAATTTCTTTCCAATAGTGTTGTACTCTGATATTGAAACATACAGCTATGGCTTACCAGAAAGCAATCTCTAAGAGCTTATGAACTGCTGACTGATTTTATACGCTGAGAGATTTGAATTCAAGAGAAATGTTGTGAATACTCCAAATCCAGATCCAAACTAGGCAAGGCTGACTTCTACATGGGCAGCAAGCAAACCACAAGGACTGGGAAGACCTGAGCCTTGTTCTGTCTCTCTATCAGTGGATATTCCTTTTCTTGGAAAGTGTAAGGTACTGTCAACTTCCCTTGAACACGTGGAAGTATGTGGGAGTCCCTGGAATTTTAGCATATCTCTGGCTTGCCAGGATGACTAATGAATGAGAGAGATTTTGTCCATGGTTCACAAAAGCAAGGCAATGTTGGAATATTTCACTACTGGAAAAGAAAACATTACTGAGAAGCAACTGAGGAGAGTATTGCTCATTAGACTATTGCCAAATCTGTTATGGATATGAGCCATACAGAATCTTTGTGCAAAATAAAGAAAAAAGAGTCTTTAGCAAGCCAGACTTTCTTTATATGTGCATTTTGCTGCAGAATAAAAAGCTTCCAGCTAATGCTTTGGTGTAAGGAACAGCAATGTGCTGCAAACATGAATAGTTCTTCATCTCTCTGAAAAATCCATATGGTTGTGATATATCAGGAAGTCTGCAGTTTTACCAGATTTTTGAAGATTGATTGTGAAGTGGTTTGGAGCAAGCTTCCACTTGAATTCTATTTTTTGTTGATATTTTCTGCTGCTCCTGCTTGTTCAAAAGATTTCTAACTCTATTAAACCACCGCTATAAGCCTGTCAGCCTGGCTGTATTTCTACTTGTTCCTCAGCAATGGAATGCAGATATCTTTCTTCTCTTCTTTCATTGTGGCAATCCTTAATTTTTAGAATGAAACTAGTAGTTCTAGGTTTTGCTTTAACCTTTTTTGATTTCACACTTTGTTTCTGAATGCAGAAATTAAACTACTGCTGAGGATAGAAGTGAACATTTCAGGAGCAGTAATGTGGCACAGGCATTCTAACTTCAATCTCACACACACTGTAGACAGAAGTGAGTTTTAACTGATTTTGAGAGTTTTGAATGGTGCACAGAACCTGGTGCCTGCCTTTCTGAATGTAAGAAAGGGGAGCAGACTCCAGGCTGTGTTTTAATCTGCATGCCTCTCAAAGTTAGAGAATATTTTGCAGATGCAGGTGAAGGGAATCTGGTCCAAGATGTACTACCAAAATAACAAATATAGTGCATTTTCATGTTTTTCCCTACTGAGATATTCTAAAAGCATAAAATGCAGCCTGGGATTAATCTGTGTTATAAAAAGAAGAGAGTCACACATCTTCCATTGTACCATGTCTGTCCTGTCTCTGTGTTTCATTTCAGTGAAGCTGTTTAAGAACTGAGGCATTGTTCAGCCTCAGTAATGATAGTGTGATCTTAAGCCCTGGTGTCCCTTGTGCCATATATAGCTTAATTTCACCTTGTTTAAAACAGTGATTTTCACTTTTCTTTGAGAGAATAAATGCTTTTTGAAAGACCTTGATTTGTTTTTGAACAAATGTGATTCTGAAGAGGTTTGTAGATTCCAGAAAGGAATTGGTTAACTTAGGCCAGAAACAGCAAGAAGCATAAATGGACTAGATGGCCTACAAATTGCCTTTTACTTCTGCAATGGAAGGTCTGAGTCAGAAGGGATGATGGAAGAACCAGTTGGGAGCAAAATCATAGTTTCCGTGGCAAACTACTAACGAAAAACTCCCTGGTATTGTGCCTGGGAGAAACAGATAGGTCTCTCTGGAGAAAGACAATAAATACCTGCTCTGGGAGGACACACTATGGTATACAGATACTGTTCAAAGTAGGATGCTTTTTGGATAACTGGCACATTTATGATGAATCATCAACCATAGTCCAAATTGCACTATGATAGTGGAGATGCTGTTGGTGGAAATCAAGCATGCGCATTGATGTGCAGATGCCATTTCAGGTTCCTTGTAGGAATAATCCCGTTTTACAGCACTGACAATAAAAGAATATGGCTCAGCTTAACCAATTCATATACTTGTAGATGTTCAGGTGTTGTTTTTCTGGTTTTGAGCAAAATCAAGCAGTTCGCTCCACATCCACACACTGGTAAACCAAAGAATCATAAAGACATGATTTTCTCAATGCATTCAAGGACAGTTAAAAAGAAACCAAAAAGTAAATTAAAGTGTATTTTAAAATGTCAGGACGTTGGTGCTGGAGTCTGTTATGTTGAAAAAGGTCCTAATGAGAGCACAGACTGGCTGGGCTGCCTTCTGGAGCAATGCTTAGTGTGGAAAAAATGTACAAGATCTGTATGGATCCATGTATGAATTTTGTGGACCTTATAGACTGTTGTGTTTTCAGTTATGAAGCTGACATTTTAAATGCAGCTCCAGGCAATTAGAAATGAATTATAACCCACAGCTATATTACAATTTTAATGTATTCGTTGCCCTGTAGTTGCAAAGACAAATCATCCCACTTTGCTTAAGGTCAGGAGTTTGATGAAGATCATTCAGCCTTCCGGTTTAAATGGAGCTAACTGGAACTAATTATTAATCAGTTGGACTGAAAAGGAGTTGATGCTCTCACACATGACATTTGTTATCTCTTACAGGCAATTTCGTTCCTTACGCCACTAGCGGTCATTTTTGTGGTGAAAATAATCCGTCGAACAGACAAGACTGAAATTAAAGAGGCTTTCTTAGGTAATGTATGTCATACTTCAAGATGGAAAATGTATGATAGGTCTCAGAGATTGATTCCAGTTGTAGTCTATGCCTTGAAGAAAACCTGTGTCCATTACGGTAGTTTTCACTGCAATTATGGTTGCGAGTCATCTCACCAAAGCCTTTGTTTTTATATATGTTTCTAAATGTACAAATTCTGTGCCTTAATTCCGCAATCTAGCTAGCAAAGGCCAGAATTCAATCAGCAAAGAAGACTGATCATCTGAGAGACTGTTCAGGTGTGTATTTTTCTCTCACAGCCAATCTGTTACTCAGCTCTTACTTATACTTGCAGCTATTCTAAATTAAGGGTTTGGCTGGAAAGTCCTGTGGGACTCAGCTGCTTAGTGTAGGAAATGACTCCTCTCATTGTTTTCTCTGACCTTCTCCTGCAGTTTACTGTTCCCCACTGCAAAATCTGTGCTCATGGCTCAGCTTTTCTGATCATAAGTTGATGTTTCATCTTAAACTGCCAGTGGAGTTAGATGTGTACTTAATCCTGGACTGTGAACTGCTATGGCTGTGTTATGGGTGAGGTCTAATTATAGTTGTAGCAAGCTGCTTTGAGGAGAGGAGAAGGTAGACAGTGGGGATAGCAAGTCTGAAACTGTTCCAGCTAATTCTGGCTGTGCCTATCTTTTGAGATCTTTTCATGCTATATGCCGAGATCCTTTTTACATGGATATTGCCAGAGATCAAAATGGACTAAAGTGCTTTTACTGGTGGAGGGTACTCTGAAGCACGAAGAACTGCAAATGTTTTTGTTGGCAGTATGTTTGAAATATGCCTAATTCTGAAATTCTGTTTTATTGGCTAATTTGCACTTTAATTTATTGGCTTTTAGATTGCAAGGTCAAACTGATACTGAGCCTTGCCTTAGCTAGATAGAATGTAAGTGGATCTATTTAATGCCCTTTGAAAAGTTATTTTAGACAAGGCTGGGTTCCCATAGCTTGTTCTTTCTCCAGTTGCTCTAACATACGTTAACATTAGAAGAGCAACGAGGCTGATGAGGGGTCTAGAGAACAAGTCTTACGAGGAGCAACTGAGGGAACTGGGGTTGTTCAGTCTGGAGAAGAGGAGGCTGAGGGGAGACCTTATTGCTCTCTACAATTACCTGAAAGGAAGTTGTAGTGAGGTAGGTGTTGGTCTCTTCTCCCAAGTAACTAGTGATAGGACGAGAGGAAACAGCCGCAAGTTGCATCAGGGGAGGTTTAGATTGGATATTAGGAAAAATGTCTTTACTGAGAGAGTGGCCAGGCATTGGAACGGGCTGCCCAGGGAAGTGGTGGAGTCACCATCCCTGAAGGTGTTCAAAAAACGTGTAGATATTGCACTTTGGGACATGGTTTAGCAGGCATGGTGGGGTTGGGTGGATGGTTGGACTTGATGATCTTAGAGGTCTTTTCCAACCTTAATGATTCTATGATTGTAACAGAAGTGTGAAAAGATCCCAGTTTTGTTTTGGCTGCTGCCAGTCATTTGCAGTAAGTTCAGAAATGCCTTAATGGTATTTTACTGACAAGTCCATTTAGTAAAAATTACACTGATTCATAAATGCATGCAGTCATAGTGCTGAGTTTCACTTTCTGTTGTGGAAGAAGCAAAGGAGCTTTGGATTAGTTTCTACATCACTTATTCTCACCTTTTTGTTCTAAAGAGACGTTCATTTTTTATGCTGTTGTTGCCTTCTGTTATGATTCCCTCTGTAATGTCCAGGAGAAAGCTTGACAGCTTCCCCAGTATTCTTGCTGCCCAGACTTTAAGGAAACCCCAGCCTTGATGTTCTGTTCTGCAGGGTATCCCTGTTCAGTGTGTGCCGCAAGTGTGGAAGTTCTTGTGGCTTATTTAAGTGTACTGTACATTAATATGATTCAGTATGTTAATGTGTCTGGTGATGTAAAGCTGATGTGAAGATGTGGTGGAGCTTCGCTGATTTGCTGAGATCTGGCACATAATGTTCATAATGAATGATGAGGAAGTCCTCCAAAAGGCAAATTTCTTTAGGCATCACACGTAAAAGAGATCAAAGGTTAAAAAGAAGTGAAAATGCCTTGCCCCTCATGTAGCCATTAATATAAAGAAGATGATTCAGTGCATCTAGGGTAAGGAGTAGTTAGCTTCCTAACTTAGGTGCCCTTAGTCCTTCCCCTGGAAGTGCCTACCTCTCTCTACTGTCTAGATTATACAACTTTTGGTAGGCAATGTGAATATTTCCTGAAGTGGACAAAATGAGAGCAAATGCAATTTGTTTGTCATCTTACATTCACACTGTCGTTTGATACTTGGGTTGCCTTTGCAAGGAATATCCAACAGTGAAAGCATGGTGCAGTCAGGTATGCAATGAACAATCAAGACAATGCTCAATGAAAAGAGTAAACTGTACCGCGTGTTTCAGAAAGTGGATATCTCTACATCTCCGATTTTTTAAAAAGGAGAACGTAGTGCACAGACATAGCTGGTCATATGCATATGACTTTGCGGAAAATTTCATTTCACCATGCAACCACCATAAATAACTGAGAGAAAACAATTGAGACGAAAAAGAGAGCATGGGATTGAGTGGTCACTGTGAACATAGGTGTTAAAAGTGGAAGACACTTTTGAACAATATCAGTGTCTCTAGGATTGACTTGTTCTTTTATTTTTGCTGGCAGCTGTTGCTATAGTCTGAGAAACCCTTGTTTTTGCTTTGATGGAGGACCTTTATTTAACTTAAAGAAAAATAGATCCTATAATACACACATTTTTGTGATCTATGATATCCTCAGGCAAAGATTTTATGGAGACAGGATGAGTGCTGCTGGAGTGTTGTATCTGGGGCAGCAGTCCAATGAGAAAATAGCTCGTGTAGCTGTCGTAATGAAAAGTTATATTACTGTAACTGTTCTGCTGGAAATCAGAGATTTGCCTGATAGTTTTTTTTTCTGATGGGAAATAAAATTCAGTGGCTCGTGTTGTAACAGGGAGCTACAGTGTGGGCCGCAACATTGAATCAGTTTTAATCTTAAAGGAGTGCGTGCACTGGATCCAAGTGCCGCTGAAATCAAGGCAGAGATCTCCACAGGCTTTAGATGAGGTTCTTTGGAAAGTCTAGGGACTCGGCATGCAAGTACAAATAAAAAAGATGATTCAGTCATAGCTAGTATGACAGTTCCTATTTATTACTCCACTTTTATAAGGAAAATTGGTTAATCCTGGGAACAAATGTAAGGGGAAAATGTCAAGTTTTTTAGTCAAAACATCCACATCCTTGTGGATGAAAAATAAAAAGTTCATCCAATTCTAGTTTTAGCCAAATGGCAATTCTTTAGCCTGAAAGTGGACTGTTGGATTGCCTCATACATACACATCTATATACACGTACATAAATACACAGAGACATGTATATATCTTGTACATATAGGTCTATACAGCAATTCTCCTTCACCCAAAGAGCAGAAGATTTTAATCTTGTAAATTACAAAACTGATAAGCACGGTACTGGATCCTCTAATAATTTTTTCTGTCTGATGATTTCTGCCTGTGCAAATGGCATGATAGGGAAACTGGCTTTGCATAAAGAAATAAGATTTCTCCAGAGTAAAAGCAGAACAAAGTCAGTCGTGATTGTTGTGATGCTCTGGGTTCTGTCCTTGGTCTGGGTGATAAGAAAAACAGTAGGCTGCAAAGATCATTCAGTTTTCAGTCCAGTAAAGGTTTCGGTCTGTAAATCAAATGCTGTAATGCTGCAATTTATAGCTTGGTATTTAGGTTATTATTGTTCTGTTTGTTCATTCTGTTTTGTAGCTGTTTCCTTGGCTCTAGCACTGAACGGCGTCTGCACAAATACTATCAAATTAATAGTGGGAAGGTAAGTCTTGTCATGTTATAAATAATAGCTTTAACTGTTATGAGAAATGAAGACAGATTGACAAATACAATACATCTTAATAAAAAGTAGCTGCTGCTCCAGAGCACATTGAATTAGAATGGGGCCCCGTGAAGCTGTCCTTTCCTTGGTGCAGGTGTTGTGCAACTTCATTATGTGACATCCAGCTGTGGTAGGAGTCTATGCCCTTGTGTCTTGTTATTTGTTTGACTGGTTGGCAGATCCAGACAAACAAGGAGTTTGAAAGAAAAGGTTTGAGCTGAGATCAGTTCATTAAATTGGCAACACATAAAGGAAGAGTCACAGCATGTGGGAGTTCAGATGCCAGTGCCACTAGTCTGATAACTGAGTCTCTATATAACCTAGTGCCTGCATTTTGTGGGCAGTGTGTTACCGAATGTGATATTTCCAGGTAACATCAAGCTCCATGGCAGAACAAGCCTTGGAGCTAAGCAATAAGTGGACTCCTAGGTAGACTATTTTTCAGGAAAGCGTAAATTTGAATGAAGGGCTCAGAAAAATGCTAGCAAACAAAATTCACTGGTAAATAAATTTTTTTAGGTATATTTGGCTCTTTATCAAAATTTTGAATAATTTCAGCTGAAAAATTTATATTTGACTTGAATTCATACACTGTTTAATAGAGTCCAATGCTGCGTTGTTTGTTCACCTGTTTTGCAGCATTGAGGAAGCGGTCTTTGCGCTTGGTTTCTGATGAACCCTCTCTGCTAGTACTGATGCCCTGACAATAATGGTACTTGGCACTTGTATTTTAAAAGTGCTTTTGAAATGTAATTAAGAATGTCTGCTCCACCTTCTTCAGGCAGACATGAGCTCATTTTGCCTGCACTCCAAGTCAGCTAGTTGCTCTGCCAGCTTGTCTCTGAATCTGTGGTCGTTCACTCTGCTTCTCTACATGGTTTATTAGCTCAGGATCAGTACGACACCAGTCAAACCCACGTGCTATCCTTCAGCTCAGTGCTGGGTCAAAGGAAACTCGGAGTTTTGTTCCATACACTTAGAGAGTCAGCATCAAGGCTGGCATTAGAATTTGGTGGTTGTTCTTGTGCCAGTCTTGTAGCCCAAGTTGTAGTCCTGTTCTCAGCTAGATGTATCAGCAAGACTTGAGCAGCTTTGTGGGGTTGCTACGCTACTTTGCGCTGTCACTGGAAGTGCTGTGCAGGATTGATTGCTCTAGGCAAGAGTAACACTGCACCTTTGTTTTCAGAGACAACTCCTGCTTGCATGTCTTCTCACTGGAAGCTTCCCTGAGAGAGCCTGGCTGCAAAATAAAGTGACCTTGAGGGGGAAGGTTTAGTGGTGGCCTTGGCAGTGTTAGGTTTACTGTTGGACATTATGGTCGTAAAGGTCTTTTCCAGCCGAAATGATTCTGTGATTTCGGTTGCTGCCTTAAGGCAGGAGGGAATGAACTCTGTATGCAATAAACAGTAAATGTAATAATCACTTTGAGGTTTATTTGTTACTACAGCTTTTATATTTTTAATATCCATGGTGTTTTTTGTAGACCGCGTCCCGATTTCTTTTACCGCTGCTTTCCAGATGGAGTAATGAACTCTGAAATGCACTGCACAGGTGATCCAGATCTGGTGTCTGAAGGCAGAAAAAGCTTTCCGAGTATCCACTCTTCCTGTAAGTTCATTTAAATGCAGTGCTTCTTTTGTAAAAAGCTGTTGTAGCTATGTTTTGGAATTGCTCTTTTTTTTGTTAGATCGTGAACCTGATTTTTGCTGGAGGGACCTGGACTGCTGCCTTAGGTCACTACTCCCACAAATTTCCTTCTGGAAATAAAGTTGTGAGCCTGTGACACTTCTTTACCTTGAGAACCACCTGACTTCACCGAGAGCCATAGCAGGACAATCAGTAGAGTGGAGCACTACTCAAGATTAAAGAAAACGATGTGGTTCTGAGGGGCTATTTGTTCCCTAATGCAGACCTCTGTATCCAACCTTTGTCTGCAGATAGTAAATATTTATTTTGTTATATTCCATTGAAACATGAAATGTGACAGGGCATGTTTGTCGTGCATAGTTTTGACAAGATCTAGTTAATATCTTTAAAGTACAAGGTCTGTTAAACCAAAGTTCAAGTCACAAAGACAGTTCAACTATTATCTTTAAGGTTTCATTAAAAAACCCTGTCCGTCCATTAGTGAGGTGCTTTTCGTCATGGGAAGTTGTGTGCTTGAAGGTGGAAGGGGTAGAAAGGAATGTACAGTGATCGTGCTGCATCATTTGGGTGCTGTTCATCCTGATGAACTGGGTACAAAGTCAAGATCAAGAAGTCCCTATCGCACTAGCAGCTATCGTAATATGCCAGTCGAAGGACGATGCTTTCATTCCCTGTTTTCTTACTCTTTTGACAGTATCCACTGCCTGCTGTGCCTAAAGAAAGGGTCCTGGTCTGTGTGGACCTTTATTCTGAGGGGTTCTTACATTTCCATACTCAGATGTCTGCTGCCACTGGAGTGCATTGCCTGGGCACAGGCAAGAGTAAATTGTAGCTCTGTCCCCAGCTCAAGCAAGCAGAGGGGAGTAGGTAGAACATCCTGACTTTTTTGTCAACGTGACAGGACAGAGGTAGCACGTGACAGGGCAACAGGTATATCAATAGTATCTTACATAGAGGAGCAGGGGGGCAGGAAATGGAGGCAAGTTTGGCACAGTTTGGAGTTTCTGTGGTTTGTTGTCTGCTCCTAGGGCAGCAGTCACTTACCACTCCATTTGGCCTTGAGGTGGTCCTCAGTCTAGGTCTGACGGTTTGATCAGTTACTCCTAGCTTATGCTGTATCCTGACAGATGTTTAGGTGGCTTTATGAAAACTCGTATGTCTGATTTAATTAATTGTATTAACTCAGATGTTTACAAAGGTTCCTTTCTCTGTCTTGAGGAGCTGGCTTCTAGAGTATTTTATGTCACACATCTATTAAAGCTTCTTTTCATCTGTAAAATAACTTAATTGTTGTGAGAGTTTTTGTTTTTTTGGGCAGTAATTTTTTGTTGCCTTGTGCTGTTCTGTTTCTGAGAACTGCTAATTGAGTATGAGTAAGTTGTATCTCTGGAATTTGTTTTTCTGATCTTTTTTTAAAGTAGTAACTTCAGATTGTCTATTTGTGCATAATTATATATTGCAGACAAGTTGGGTAATGAGATGAATGAAATTCTGAGCTGATCTTGCTCCCTTTTTCCTGTTTGAGTCCCAAAAACAGATAAGGGAGTAGTGGATGTTTGTGGATATGTTATAAGCTTTATAGTCCTAAACAATAAACTAACTTAGCTGTCTCAAATTTTGTTTATAAGCTTCGATTATATTAAAGAGGCAATAGCGGAATGTATTGTATGTCGTTTAGAACGAGTGGTATTTATTGCTATTTGTATTCTGTGTTCAGATCTAGTCATCACACTTAATTGCAATCGTCCGGGTTAAGCATTTCATCCCTGTATAACAACAAAGGTTTAATATAAGTACATGTATACACTGACGTACTAGAATTTACAGATTAGCCCTCGGCAAGTGTTATAGCTGGTCGCTTTCCTTTACCAAAAATGCAACAGTTTACTCCGCAGCTGCAAAGTGTGAGTTGCAGAAGACACCCAATGTGATTTTGGTTTTGCACAGACTAGAAACCCTGTATGTGTAGGATGCTCCGCTTAGCTCTGGCACACATCCTAGTTCCCTTACCGAGACTGTTGTCACACAGCGAAGAGCTTTGTCCCTGTGCCAGTGGGGCAGCCATAGAATGCATACTGGGGTTTTACTTTTAACTGGTATTGGTTTTATAACCACTGAGTTATGTTACTGCAGCTCACACAAAATTCAGTTGGAGCTGAACGATGGCCTAGTGTATTTAGATGAAAATTATGAGAACAGCTTTCTCCATGACTGACTTCATTAGAATGTGGCTGAGTTGAATATATTTCCCACTACAAAGCCTTTTATTACAATGCAATAAGAATGAAAAGATATTATATATGCAGAAATTTTTATCTGTTGGTAAGTGTATGCTAGAGTGAGGCAATTCTGCAGCAGCTTGAAGTACTTAGCTATTTGAATCCTGATGTTGTGATATCTGAGTCTCTGACAAGACTATGTTCTTTGAAGCCTTAAAATCAGTACGTGTTTCAGTCTTACAATGGAGAAGGAAACCATTTTAATTTGATGATCTTACAGTGCTAACCTCTGCTCCTTCTGTATAGCAAAATTATTTAGAGATAACCAGGATTGTCAGTATTATTTTGTCAAGAATAGTTTATAGTTGTGGTGATAATTTTTTTTCTTGCTGTTAATTCATCCTTCACTAGATTGATGAGTGAAAAGCAAAAGATATTATGTGAAACACAACATTCTACTACCTTCCTGGACCTGTGAAGCAATGAGAATATTGAGAATATAATAATTCACGTTCAGAAATTTTGTTATAATTCTACATTTTCAGTATTTTGTTTTGTGTAATGTATGAACTATACCTCCTCTACCTCCCACTCCCTGTGAAAAATTATCCTCTTATCTCAGTTTTAAAAAGCTGTCCTTCCTGCCTTCTTGACATGTAGGTAGTTGCAAACTTTCCTTCTATAAACTCAGTCCAAGATCTTTTTTCTTGGCTCCTTTCTCCCTTCCTTCGGCAGAAGATTGCTGCTAGGTAAAATGAAGGAGTTCCATTCTTCAGATTTCTGTCATCCTTTTTCTGTTTGTTGTGGAATTCATGCAGCAGCACCAAAAAAAGAGGTTTTGTTTCTGTTACTGTTTGTGTTTAGTTTTTTTTCTATTTTCATGGCTGCAGAAGTGTAAGTGGGGAGAATGAGAGTTAGCATAAACTATATTAGCTCTCTTGGAGTGATAGTTACAAGTGGCCCACTACAGTTTGGTTTTTTCTTGAACACATAAAGAAAATAAATCACAAGTAAAAGCTGCCAGGCAGCTTGTAAAGAGAGGTCAGAAGCTTCAGTCAAGAGCCATTTTCAGCTGCAAAACAGTTTTTCTTAGACCATTCCTTGGACAGGCTGTCAGTCAAAAGCTTTGTTATACCAGGATCTAAAACCTCATCCACGCAAAATGAGGCCTTTATCAAGAGTGTTGGTGGTGCTGTGAAAGCTGTGCTGTAAGGATGTAGTGCTGGGCTGTGTAACGAGCGTAATGGTACTGACACCCCCAGATGGCCTCACCTGACCTTGCGTACTCAATAAAAACGTTGTGAACTGCCTGTCTTCCACTTGGAGAGTCAACATGTGCTCCGAAGGAGAGTGCGTTCTCCTTATTAGAGCACAGATGATTTTCTTGGCTTTAATTACCATGTCTGTCATCTCCCTGGGCCAAGGGCTGCATGTCATACAAATAAGAAAAATGTAGGAGCGCAAACCATTTTGTAAAGCCAAAGAGTGACTTGCAAATAGATGCAAACAACAGTTGCCTGGAACAGCTGAGACATTTTGGGCCAAATTAGGACAGGAGGTTGACCCACATGAAGACAGTGTTGTTACTGCTTTCTCTGAACAAGGAGCAGAACTCTACCTGCAGTGGCTGCTGAAGATGTATGTTGAGCTGGCATGTCTCCTAGCTCTGTCTTTTGTTGTCCTTTTCTGGAATGACTGTTGAAGGTTAGGTGACCGCTCTTGGTAATTTCTTGTAACAGCGACTTGAGTTTAGAATCTACACAAGCACAACCCAACTTCCAATGATGTCACTGAAATTCACCTAGTAGGGCATGTTCCACTGGATCAAAAATCCCTGGACCTTCTGGATTGTTTGGAGCATATTTTGCCTCTTTTCTGGTTGAACTGCAAGTATGTCTTGTTTGAGGGAACCAACATTTTGGGGTTGGGAGCCTGCCTGGGTCCAGTAGCTCAGAGGTGTTTCTGAGTCTCAGGTTTATATGTAGCTGTTCTGATGAAAATGCTTCCAAAATGCAGGTCTGTTTTCCATATTTAGTATCTGCATGGTTTTCTAACCTATTTGCAATTTTATGCTATTTAAAACTGCCTAATCTGTGAAGATGCTGTGCAGCTTCTCTATGTCCAAATTTTGTTGAAAGGATGATGTTTATGAAGATCATAAACGCAGTGTTTCTTTCTCTTGCTTGTGTCCTTCCTGTGTGTCTTCTGTAGACTTACCTTGCAGAGAACCTTCAGGCAGCCTGCCTTGGAGATATCTCATGGGATCCTAGCCTCTCCAAATACATGGAGTAAGCACACATACTCTTTAGGGCTTGTTCTGGTTGTACTTTGCAAGCTTGTTATCCAAATAATAAGCAAGTCTCTCTCAAATGTGGCCCTGAGAATAGTGGGAACGTCTGAAAGCCAGTTACACCATCTGAAAGTGCTGGTCGTAATAAGGAGTAGGGAAATTCAGCCATCTCTGTGGTGAGCTTCTGAAGAAACTTTTTCTTACGTTTGGTGAAGTGTGGTGGGAACTGCCCTTTGCTCTATTTATTTTTTTCTAGTTTCCCCACTTCAACCTGCTGATGTGCAGCAGAAGTGAGAATACATTTTTTCCTCGGATCACTCCTTGCAGTGCTGGAAAATACATAATGCAGCTGCTGATGGACTGATAAAAGGCCTTTCACATTCTCCTGTCCTGGCAGCAAGATTCAAACAGAAGCAGCAAGCAGCAGATAAAAAATGAACATGAACAACCAA